CCCCAAGCCCTTAAATCCCTTAAACCCTAAATTCTAAGCCCTGAACCCTAAATCCTAAACCCTGAACCCTGAACCCTACATCCTAAGCCCTGTTCCTTAAATCTAAAAGCCTAAATCCTCAAGTAAAGGAATGAGATCCTCCGCTTCACGAAGCCAGGCCAAGCTCTCAAACCCTAAAGGGTCTCTTGGTGTACGTAGGTTTTAGGGTTTAGGGTTTAGGGTTTTTAGGGTTTAGGCATCGGGTTTGGGGCTTAGGGTCCCTTGGTGTGGGGATTTCGGGTTTAGGCCTAGGGTTTAAGGGCTTAGGGTCCCTTGGTGCAGGGGGCGTAGGGTTTAGGGCCCCTTAAAAGGGCTTAGGGCTTAGCTTAGGATCCTTTTTAAAAGGGTTTAGGGTTAAGAGTAAGGCTTCGGGTCCTTGTGAAAGGGTTTAGGGCTTAGGGTTGCTTTTGAAAGGGTTCAGGGTTTAGAGTTTATGGTTGAGCGCTTTGGGTACCCCTAAAAGGGTTTAGGGTTTAGGGTCCCTTGACAAGGGGTTCAGCGGGTTTAGGGCTCAGGTTCTTTAAAGGGAGCTATAGGTATCTAGAAGGAAACAGAGGTACTCTTAGGTGCCTTTGAAGGGGTCGGGTTTTTGAGAGAAATGAGCTCTGGGTTCAAAAAGGTTTTGATAAATTTGTGGTAAGTTCCCGTGAAGTAGATAGAATAGAGGATATATTCTTTGCCCTAAACCCTAAAACCTTAACCCTTAATTACCCAAAACCCCAAACCCTTTTGCTGTGGCGCAGGCAGCCTCGAAGTGAGGCTCTACTACGGCTTCGAAAAGAAAAGTGCGCTGGAGGATCTCATGGATGACAAGGTTTTCCTGAAGCGGACGGTGGTGCTAACCACCTACCAGACGCTGGAGAGCGACTACCGCCAGCAAGTGAACCGGACCAAGGTGCAATGTCAGTGGTGTGGTCGACTTTTTCAGAAGCAGAAGCTCTTCTACCACCAGAAGTATTTCTGCGGACCGGATGCCCAGAGGACGGAGAAGCAGGCGAAAGCACAGAGGAAGGCCGATTTCAAGGACAGACTGCAACAGCTCACATCTTCCTGCCAAGTGCTCGATAAGAGTGGTGAGAATATAGTAAAAATAGTAGTAGATAATATAATAAAAATAGTAGTAATAATAATAGTGATAGTTATCATAGTAGTAACAGTAAGAGTAGTAATACTGGAAAAGGAAATGGAAGCTATTATGTGGTCATGCGAGACCTGATAATGATAGTCATGCTGGCGTAGCTTGATGCCTTGTTTCCAGAGGGGGATCTAGCCGTGCAGCGTTGCTGGCATCATGAGTGTCATTCTCACAGGTGCTTACCAATGAGCGCATGCATTTCATGACACTTGCCAGCTTTGTTCTCGTAGCAAGCAGTCCAAGTTGCAGTTCAAGCTCCCTTATCCAAGTTCTATGACTATTCAAAAGCATTAGCATGCACGCCAGCCAGGATGAGGCCGTCAAAAAGATGAAGATCGGTGGGCACGAGACGAACATCGTCCTGAACCCGCTCAATGCCATCAGGAGCTTCTCGCGGGTATGGGTTTAGGGCTTAGGGTAGCTTTGGCAGCAGGTAGGCATGGTAATTGCCTAGATAGGGGGACCCCAATATAGACCCCATGTCTTTTTATAATCCTTATTATAGGGACCCCTAAGAGGGTACCCCCAACCCCTATAACGCTAAACCTCTATGTTTGAAAAGCCTGGGGTATGGGCGTACGGATACATTGGGGTTACATTTGGTATCCCTTCATTTTCAGCGAAACTCTGCTCTTCAATGAGGAGCGCGGCAACACAAGCTTTGCGTCTTTGCCTCGGCGTTTACGTAGTCCCGGCTCATGACAGCTGAGAGCATCTAGCTTTTTTGGAGGCATACTGGAGTGGGGGGACAGTAGCAAGGCAAAGGTAATCGCAGACATGTCGATCATGACATTCATAGCAACAACTCCTGATATAAACAGAGGCGGCGCCAAATCTTGCCGTGGAACTGGTTCTGCAATACCACGCTCAAGGGGATTATTGTCGGCATCGGAAGCTCTCTCAGAGTCAGTGCTAGCTGCTAGTGGTGTTGCCAAGCCTGTAGGGTAGGAACTTGGGAGCTTTGGAAAATGAGAACAGCAATAGTTTCCGCAATGGCTTGCATCGGCATGTTTGACATTGTTGTGTATGGTTCAGATTTTGAGGTCGCCGAGCCAAGAGCACTGGCGCGATGCTTGAACCTCAGGGGGGAAGTGGGGAGCTTCACGCAGAGGGGCGATGTAGAGACCAACTAATGCAGTTTAGGGGTTTGGAGTTGAGTAGGGTTTAGGTTTTTTGGCTTGGGATTGAAGGTAGCTGAGGGGAGCCCGGACCTTCTAGGAATGCTAGAGACCTTAATAGAGACCTCCTTTAGGAGACTACTTGCTGCCTGCTGCTCTGGCAAAGTTAACAAGAACAGCTTGAAACATTAGATTCGATAGATACACATTTGAACTTTACAATCTTGTGGGCACTCCAGCAGCTGGCTAGCAAGCACGTTCTTCCCGCATGCCTTCCATCATACTTGAGGCGCCTGAACAGTGCATGCCCTTACGTATCGCATTTCCGCAGGCCGTTCCCGGTTTCCGTGCTGCCAGATGAAGCGCAGGCAGCCATTCGTGGCGAAGGCGCACCGTGTCCCTGCCAAACCTCTTAGCCGACGTAACAACCAATTTCATCAATACTGCTGCTGCTGCTGCTGCTGTTGGCGCCGGGATTGATGCTGAATCACTGAAGGGGGCAGCAGAAACAGTTCATTTCTCTTGATACAGTAGGCATTGCCTTTTGGACAAAATTGCCAGAGAGCGCATTTGAGCGCTCATTTGGGAGTTTCCAAAATTGGCATGCCCGCTATATACTCCCAAACGGTCTCGTCCTCATTATAGAACCCTTAAAAAGGATCCTTTACTTCGGGAACCCCATTTCCACAGATTCCCATCGCCAGGTCCTGCTGCAAGCAGCATTCGAAAAGAGAAGGCTGAGGCCCCGAATTCTTTGAACTGATAATTTCGTCGCTGTAGTAATCCCCACCCCACCCCCTAATATTAAATATTGCCATATTTGATATTAGGGGTTGGGGGGTTTGCAAAATGGGGGGAGGGGATTACAAAACACCCCAAAGCCCTGCGCAATAATTGTGAATATTGTCCTTAAATGAACTGACAATTGGCACTTTATGAGGAGGTGTTATCATGAGCATGGGGTTATGAGGGTAAGGGGTTCATGATGATAGCAGGAAGAGTAGTGACCGGGTATCCAAGTCTTGCAGAGTTCTTCGTTGGCCCCTTGAGACGTTACTGGGCGCAAGCGCGGTAGAAACATGTTTTCCGCTGCCCAGATCTCAGTAAGTCCAGCCCCTCGTCTGTGTCCCCCACACTGTGTCGCAGCTTCCGGTCTACTGACGCAATCAATTCGTAATCTTCCTAAAGGTAGGCTAATGTGTAGCCCAAAGAAAGGAAGTATTTCTCACAACATCCCCTTCAACTGGGTTGCTGTTAAGGAACTTAATTTAAGATACTCTACTGGGGTAACCATAAGACTTACCCTTTATATACCCATCATTGTTATTCCCCCCCTTCAGTCGCCCAGCGCGGGGCCCAAGCTGTGAGGCCCCAACCACGCCAAAAAAGCGTCAGCGCGGCAAAGGCTCAGGCTTGTAGAGACCAACGAAGTATCCGCGGGCAAATCTTCAGTGGTGAAGATAGCAGGGCTAAAGGTTGGGGGGGGGGCTTTGCATACATATTCTACATCTGCATTTATGCATGTTCAGGGTTTAGGGTGTATATATATGTATATATAGACATTTATATAACTTAATGTATAATCAGAGAGATCCGTGGGGATGGTCCAGTACATGATTCGAAGTGCGGTGTAAAGTCAACACATCAATCAGCGTGTGCAGCCACTTGACCCCGTGGGGTGTCGTAGCCATAATTGTTGGAAGAGTGCAGCATGCATGGAGGGTGGCAGCCAGTTTCGGGAGCGTGGTGGGGGAAACTTGATGCTTCATGCATGAAATCAAATGGCAAGTCTCTACCATTCAAGGCCACTGGGCTCAAACGTCATGGGGTGCTGTCATGTGCGTTCTCGGCGAGTTGCTGTCGGCATGATCCGCCTAGTAGGTGAGGGGAAGCGTACATCCTGTCAAATTCATTCAGGCTCCTGCATTATATCCCCATTTAAGGAAGTGAGACGAAAGCTCATATTTTGCCAGGTGATGTGGCTCCATCTCCGAAGGAGACGCCTGCTCCGGCCCCACGCTCAGCTGAGGGTGGGAAGTGGAGATGTCATAGCAGTTGGACGTGTTATTTAAGCAAGCATCAAGGGGACTCCATATTCCAGCCATATTTGCGAAGATTGTGGAGACATGGGGATACGCTAGGCCTGCTGAAGTTAAACAAGTTATAAAGTCAAGCAATTAGGAAAGCCCCACAACCCTAAAACCTAAACCCTATTCCATAAACCCTAATTGCGGAACCCTAATCCGTAAACCCTAATCCCTGTAAACCCCTAAACCCTAAACCCATATAAACCCTAATCCCTGTAAACCCCTAAACCCTAAATCCTTGGCAGGTATCCATGCCCAGAGCCGAAGCGCGTAGTTCAAAGAGCTCCCAGGAGTTGCGTCAGCCATGTGAGTAGTATTTTTTTTGGGGGTACTGTGGTACCCAATATAGGGCAAGATGGGGGTACTATGGTCCCCAATATAGGGCAAGATTAGATCCTCCTTTTGGGGTATAGTATTTTACATAAGGAATACAATCTTACTGGGTTCAACCACCCAAAGAAACATTACTCATGGGCCGTTTTCGCGTGGATGTGACATGTGCGAGATGTCGGCCAAATGGCTACAAAGTAGACTGCTCTCAGGAAGGAAGCCACAGTGGTTTCCATTTTATTTTCCATTATCCCTATATAACCCCATTGTACTATAGTAGCTTCCTTTCTGTTTTCTATTATCCCTATATAACCCCGAAATAATTCCTGTTGTATTTACAAGGCCCCTTCTCCGGCTCTTGCATCGGGAAGGACTCATCTGCGGTCGGCTGGGGCGCGAGCCTGAAGGCGAAGCAGCCCGGCAAAGCCATTGAGCTCTCTTTGAGCGGCTTGGCTTCGTTACCTAAGGCTCCTACAGGTGGATAGGTGCCATGCGCTGTAGGGAAGCTACCCCTCACTGTACATGACTCCCCCCATTTCAACCTCCCCTCCTGTAATTTAATTAGTGCTAACTTAACTAGTTCTGTTTCTAGTTTTTAACACTTTTCCACTCCTTGATGCCGCGGCTCCTGCCGATCTGCCGCACTGGCTGCTGGGCCCTAAACCCTAAACCTTAAGCCCTAAACCCTAAACCTTAGGCCCTAAACCTTAAGCCCTAAGCCCTAAATCTTAAACCTTAAACCCTAAACCTTAAAGCCCTAAACCCTAAACCCTAAAGGTGATGACAGCGATTTGGAGCTCCTCCATGAAGAGGGCGCTCAAAAGAACGGCTTGGCATGGACTGGGCCTCTTTCCCAGAGCATGTGTGGCATAGGGATTAGGGTTTAGGGTTTAAGGTTTAGGGTTTACTATTTTGGGTGTAGTCTAAACTCCTTAAAGGGGGATTATATAGGGGATTACTATAGGGGACCATAGGGTATAAGGGGGATACTAGGAGT